GGCGACTTCAGCCAATCAGAGCACGGTAACACCCCCCCGCCCCTTGTGTCAGGTGCCCTCCGTGTGTGTCAGGTCCCTCCTCGTGTGTCAGGTGCCCTCTGTGTGTGTCAGGTGCCCTCCTGTGTGTCAGGTGCCCTCCGTGTGTGTCAGGTGCCCTCCGTGTGTGTGTCAGGTGCCCTCCGTGTGTGTCAGGTGCCCTCCGTGTGTGTCAGGTGCCCTCCGTGTGTGTCAGGTGCCCTTCCTCTCTCTGTTTCAGACGGAGGGTGGAACTACGTTTCTGATCTCAGTTTTGCTCCAAATCAAACGAAAGAAATGGAAGAAAAGATCATGGACCTGCACAAGAAACTCAGGTCTGAACCAGGACTGAACCAGGACTAAACCAGGACTGAACCGGGACTAAACCAGGACTAAACCAGGACTAAACCAGGACTAAACCAGGACTGAACCAGGACTAAACCAGGACTAAACCAGGACTAAACCAGGACTAAACCAGGACTAAACCAGGACTAAACCAGGACTAAACCAGGACTAAACCAGGACTAAACCAGGACTAAACCAGGACTGAACCAGAACTAAACCAGGACTAAACCAGGACTGAACCAGGACTAAACCAGGACTAAACCAGGACTAAACCAGGACTAAACCAGGACTGAACCAGGACTAAACCAGGACTAAACCAGGACTAAACCAGGACCGAACCAGGACTAAACCAGGACTAAACCAGAACTAAACCAGGACTAAACCAGGACTAAACCAGGACTAAACCAGAACTAAACCAGGACTAAACCAGGTCTAAACCAGGACTAAACCAGGACTAAACCAGGACTAAACCAGGTCTAATCCTTTTGTTTCAGGGGCATGTCTCCATCTGAGGCTGAGAGTCATTTTCTGGAGAATGTGAAGAAGTTGTCGATGTACGGAGTCGACATGCACCACGCCACTGTGTGTACCTGTCGCACCTGACACACCTGTTGCACCTGTCACACCTGTCACACACTCATCTGTCACACCTGTCACACACTCACCTGTCACACCTGTCACACACTCATCTGTCACACCTGACACACCTGTTGCACCTGTCACACCTGTCACACACTCACCTGTCACACCTGTCACACACTCACCTGTCACACCTGTCTGTTATCTCTGTACATAGATGAAACTTCAAACAGGATTATTCGTTTTAAACCCCTGTTCTACTGTCCTTCTGTTCTACTGTTCTACTGTCCTTCTGTTCTACTGTTCTACTGTCCTTCTGTTCTACTGTTCTACTGTTCTACTGTTCTACTGTCTTCTGTTCTTCTGTTCTTCTGTTCTACTGTTCTTCTGTTCTACTGTTCTTACTGTTCTTCTGTTCTACTGTTCTACTGTTCTGTTCTACTGTCCTTCTGTTCTTCTGTTCTACTGTTCTACTGTTCTACTGTTCTTCTGTTCTTCTGTTCTACTGTTCTCTGTTCTACTGTTCTACTGTTCTACTGTCTCTGTTCTTCTGTTCTTCTGTTCTGTTCTACTGTTCTACTGTTCTACTGTTCTTCTGTTCTTCTGTTCTACTGTTCTACTGTTCTACTGTTCTTCTGTTCTACTGTTCTACTGTTCTTCTGTTCTTCTGTTCTTCTGTTCTACTGTTCTTTACTGTCCTTCTGTTCTACTGTTCTACTGTTCTACTGTTCTTCTGTTCTTCTGTTCTACTGTTCTACTGTTCTGTTCTTGCTGTTCTACTGTTCTTCTGTTCTACTGTTCTTCTGTTCTACTGTTCTGTTCTTCTGTTCTTCTGTTCTACTGTTCTTCTGTTCTTCTGTTCTACTGTTCTTCTGTTCTACTGTTCTACTGTTCTGTTCTTCTGTTCTTCTGTTCTACTGTTCTGTTCTACTGTTCTTCTGTTCTTTCTGTTCTACTGTTCTACTGTTCTGACTGTTCTTACTGTTCTTCTGTTCTTCTGTTCTTCTGTTCTACTGTTCTTCTGTTCTACTGTTCTTCTGTTCTACTGTTCTACTGTTCTACTGTTCTTCTGTTCTACTGTTCTACTGTTCTTCTGTTCTACTGTTCTTCTGTTCTACTGTTCTTCTGTTCTACTGTTCTTCTGTTCTTCTGTTCTACTGTTCTTCTGTTCTACTGTTCTACTGTTCTTCTGTTCTACTGTTCTCTCTGTTCTACTGTTCTTCTGTTCTTCTGTTCTACTGTTCTTCTGTTCTACTGTTCTTCTGTCCTTCTGTTCTTCTGTTCTACTGTTCTTCTGTTCTTCTGTTCTTCTGTTCTTCCTGTTCATTCTGTTCTTCTGTTCTTCTGTCTGTCCTCCTGTTCTTCTGTTCTACTGTCCTTCTGTTCTTCTGTTCTTCTGTTCTTCTGTTCTTACTGTTCTTCTGTTCTTCTGTTCTTCTGTTCTTCTGTCCTTCTGTTCTACTGTTCTTCTGTTCTTCTGTTCTTCTGTTCTGTTCTACTGTTCTTCTGTTCTACTGTTCTTCTGTTCTTCTGTTCTTCTGTTCTTCTGTTCTTCTGTTCTACTGTTCTACTGTTCTTCTGTTCTACTGTTCTTCTGTTCTTCTGTTCCTTCTGTTCTACTGTTCTTCTGTCCTTCTGTTCTACTGTTCTTCTGTCCTCCTGGTCTTTGTTCTACTGTTCTTCTGTCCTTCTGTTCTTCTGTTCTACTGTTCTTCTGTTCTTTCTGTTCTTCTGTTCTTTCTGTTCTTCTTCTGTTTCTACTGTTCTTCTGTTCTACTGTTCTTCTGTTCTACTGTTCTTCTGTTCTTCTGTTCTTCTGTTCTTCTGTTCTTCTGTTCTTACTGTTCTATTCTGTTCTACTGTTCTTCTGTTCTGTTCTACTGTTCTTCTGTTCTTCTGTTCTACTGTTCTTCTGTTCTTCTGTTCTACTGTTCTTCTGTTCTTCTGTCTTCTGTTCTACTCTGTTCTACTGTTCTTCTGTTCTTCTGTTCTTTCTGTTCTACTGTTCTTCTGTTCTACTCTGTTCTGCTGTTCTTCTGTTCTTCTGTTCTTCTTCTGTTCTTACTTTCTGTTCTTCTGTTCTTCTGTTCTACTGTTCTACTGTTCTTCTGTTCTACTGTTCTTCTGTTTCTTCTGTTCTTCTTTCTGTTCTTCTGTTCTTCTGTTCTTCTGTTCTTCTGTTCTGTTCTACTGTTCTTCTGTTCCTTCTCTTCTGTTCTTCTGTTCTTCTGTTCTTCTTCTGTTCTTCTGTTCTTACTGTTCTACTGTTCTTCTGTTCTTCTGTCCTTCTGTTCTTCTGTTCTACTGTTCTTCTGTTCTACTGTTCTTCTGTTCTTCTTACTGTTCTTCTGTTACTCTGTCCTTCTGTTCTACTGTTCTTCTGTTCTTCTGTTCTACTGTTCTTCTGTCCTCCTGTTCTACTGTTCTTCTTTCTTCTTCTGTTCTTCTGTTCTACTGTTCTTCTGTTCTACTGTTCTTCTGTCCTCCTGTTCTTCTGTTCTTCTGTTCTACTGTTCTCCTGTTCTTCTGTTCTTCTGTTCTTCTGTTCTCCTGTTCTTCTGTTCTTCTGTTCTGTTCTTCTGTTCTTCTGTTCTTCTGTTCTACTGTTCTTCTGTTACTCTGTTCTTTCTGTTCTACTGTTCTTCTGTTCTACTGTTCTACTGTTCTTCTGTCCTTCTGTCCTCCTGTTCTTCTGTTCTTCTGTTCTCTGTTCTTCCTGTTCTTCTGTTCTACTGTTCTTCTGTCTCTGTTCTTCTGTCCTCCTGTTCTTCTGTCCTCCTGTTCTTCTGTTCTTCTGTCCTCCTGTTCTTCTGTTCTACTGTTCTTCTGTTCCTGTTCTTCTGTTCTACTGTTCTTCTGTTCTGCTGTTCTTCTGTCCTCCTGTTCTTCTGTCCTCCTGTTCTACTGTTCTACTGTTCTACTGTTCTACTGTTCTAACCCTCTGTTGTTCTGGGTCACAGGAACCAGGTGTTCTGGTGTTTGAGTAACTCTTTCTTCTGAGTCTGTGACATCACGAGGTGGAACAGAGAGTTTTCAGTTTGAGAGAAGAACTCATGTAAATGTTTGGGTTTGTGATTTAAACATGTGAATGAAACAAAACACGAGTCGACAGTAGAACAGAACAGAACAGAGGATTATGGAACATTCACTTCTTCAGACTTTAAATTATGTCAACATTTGGAAATATGTGCTGTACCTAAAACACTAACATGCGAACGGAGCACTTCTGAGGCTCAGAGACGACTTTGGATTCACAGTTTAGTGAAACGAGAGACAAGAATCATCTGTTCTTTATGAGCGCTTTGAGACTTCATCTAAACGTCTGTTTGTGTCTCTGCCTCACCTGCCTCACCTGCCTCACCTGTCTCACCTGCCTCACCTGCCTCACCTGTCTCACCTGCCTCACCTGCCTCACCTGCCTCACCTGCCTCACCTGCCTCACCTGCCTCACCTGCCTCACCTGTCTGGACACAGATGGTCGGGAGCAGAGTTGAATGTTTATCCACCAAAACAGAGGTGAGTTTAAAGTCCTTGTAACTGCTCCTCTTCTTATAAAGAGTGTGGATCAGGAAGTGTGTGGTTAACATGCTAGTTGTTGTGTTTTTCATGTTTTTACAACTTTAAATGTGTTTAGTTTTAGTCTGAGCCGTCGCCCTCTGACCGCAGGGTTGGGGGTTCTATTCCTGACACTGCTGTCGTGTGCCCCCGCTGCATGTGATTGGCCATCTGTCCACAGAGGGGCGGAGCTTCTCGCTCCTCTGCTCTGTTATTGGTCAGGACTCGGGGGGCGGGGCTTCTCACTCCTCTGCTCTGTGATTGGTCAGGACTCGGGGGGCGTGGCCATCACACTGGGCGTGTGCAGTAGCGGGCTTCTCGTTTACAGAGACCGACTCCGGATCAACCGCTTCTCCTGGCCCAAAGTCCTGAAGATCTCCTACAAGAGGAACAACTTCTACATCAAGGTCCGGCCCGGAGAGGTGAGACCAGGACCAGGACTATAACCAGACTATCGTGAGACTGGGGCCTGACTGGACCTGAACTGTACCTGGACCGGACCCGGACCACAGACGGTCTACATGAGAATCATAACCCGTTTTGTTGCAGATGGAGCAGTTCGAATCGATCATCAGCTTCAAACTCCTGAACCACAGAGCTGCAAAACGCCTCTGGAAAGTCTGTGTGGAGCACCACTCGTTCTTCAGGTACAGCAGGACTAAACCAGGACTAAACCTGGTCTAACCCCGGTCTAAACCCGGTCTTACCCTGGTCTTAGCTTGATTTAAACCCGATCTAAACCTGGTCTATTCCCGACCTAAACCCGGTCTAACCATGGTCTAACCCTGATGTCTGCAGGTGTGTGTCTCCTGAGGATCCTCCGAAGAGGTTCAGTCTTGGGTCTAAGTTCCGGTACCAGGGCCGGACTCAGGTCCAGAGCCGTAGAGCCAGCGCCCAGATCCACCGACCTGCACCGCATTTCCCACGATGCATCAGCAAACGGAGCATGCTCAGTCGCAGCCTGGACGGAGGTGAGTAAAAATATCACACATCTGAGTAAAGTCAGGACTGAGCTGGACCTTCTCCAGAGGAGAACCGGCCAAAAGAACCCAAATCCAGAACCATAAGGACTCAGTAGAACCCAGCAGAACCAAGAAGAACCCAAGAGAAGCAAGACGAACCTTTCGTGAATGTGTTTAGAACGATCTGGAGCTGAGTCAGAACAAGTCTAAGAGACAAAGACAAGTGTATGCACATGATTGGTCGGTGGGGATGGTCTTGCCTCTGATTGGTCGGTGGGGATAGTCTTGCCTCTGATTGGTCGGTGGGAGGTAATCTTGCCTCTGATTGGTTGCAGCCTCCAGGCCCAGCTCGTCTGTGATTGGTTCTCCAGTCAGTACTCTGTCTCTCAGAGCCAATGGCGTGTCTCGCTCAGGTAGCTCCGCCCCTGCAGCTGCTGCGCTCTGATTGGCCAATGGGCTGTTTTTATTTCTCATCATTTTAGGAGTTTTTATTGTTTTGTTTTTATATATTTATTTGTGTAGTGACCTCTGACCTCTGACCTCAGAGCTGTGTTTGACTCAAACACTGCACACGCTTCATTTGATTTCCCTTCACCTGATTGGCTGTCTCCTGTAGCTGCCTCCTGATTGGCTCAGAGCCTGGCTGCTGTCAGCTGATTGGCTGCTCATGTTTTACTTCTGTTTTTTTTTCTCATATTTGTGTTTAGGATCAAATATTTAAGGACCTTAACCCCTGACCCCTGACCCTAAAGACCTTTGAGTCTGAGCAGGTGCTCAGTGCTGCGCTCTGATTGGCTCAGGTGCTCAGTGCTGCGCTCTGATTGGCTCAGGTGCTCCGTGCTGCGCTCTGATTGGCTCAGGTGCTCAGTGTTGCGCTCTGATTGGCTGCTGTGTATTGTTTGTTTTAAAGACATGGGGCGGGACCTTTACGCCGCGTCCAGAGCCATCGCCGGCAGTGACCTCATCGCCGCGGTAACCACAGAAGACCCCGTCACCATAGTAACCACCGAGGGGTGGGTAGAACCAGGTGAGGACCAGCCAATCACAGAGCTGATACTTCTGCGGCGTTAAACCCCGTTCACCTGAGACTCTAAACCTGTTCACCTGAGACTCTAAACCTGTTCACCTGAGACTCTAAACCTGTTCACCTGAGACTCTAAACCTGTTCACCTGAGACTCTAAACCTGAACTCTAAACCTGTTCCACCTGAGACTCTAAATCTGTTCACCTGAGACTCTAAACCTGTTCACCTGAGACTCTAAACCTGTTCACCTGAGACTCTAAACCTGTTCACCTGAGACTCTAAACCCCGTTCACCTGAGACTCTAAACCTGTTCACCTGAGACTCTAAACCTGTTCACCTGAGACTCTAAACCTGTTCACCTGAGACTCTAAACCTGTTCACCTGAGACTCTAAACCTGTTCACCTGAGACTCTAAATCTGTTCACCTGAGACTCTAAAACCTCTGTTCACCTGAGACTCTAAACCTGTTCACCTGAGACTCTAAACCTGTTCACCTGAGAGACTCTAAACCCCGTTCACCTGAGACTTCTAAACCTGTTCACCTGAGACTCTAAAACCTGTTCACCTGAGACTCTAAACCTGTTCACCTGAGACTCTAAACCTGTTCACCTGAGACTCTAAACCTGTTCACCTGAGACTCTAAACCTGTTCACCTGAGACTCTAAACCCCGTTCACCTGAGACTCTAAACCTGTTCACCTGAGACTCTAAACCTCTGTTCACCTGAGACTCTAAAACCTGTTCACCTGAGACTCTAAATCTGTTCACCTGAGACTCTAAACCTGTTCACCTGAGACTCTAAACCTGTTCACCTGAGACTCTAAACCTGTTCACCTGAGACTCTAAATCTGTTCACCTGAGACTCTAAACCCCGTTCACCTGAGACTCTAAACCTGTTCACCTGAGACTCTAAACCTGTTCACCTGAGACTCTAAACCTGTTCACCTGAGACTCTAAACCCCGTTCACCTGAGACTCTAAACCCCGTTCACCTGAGACTCTAAATCTGTTCACCTGAGACTCTAAATCTGTTCACCTGAGACTCTAAACCCCGTTCACCTGAGACTCTAAATCTGTTCACCTGAGACTCTAAACCCGTCTCACCTGAGACTCTAAAATCTGTTCACCTGAGACCTGAGACTCTAAACCCCGTTCACCTGAGACTCTAAACCCCGTTCACCTGAGACTCTAAATCTGTTCACCTGAGACTCTAAATCTGTTCACCTGAGACTCTAAACCTGTTCACCTGAGACTCTAAATCTGTTCACCTGAGACTCTAAATCTGTTCACCTGAGACTCTAAACCTGTTCACCTGAGACTCTAAACCTGTTCACCTGAGACTCTAAACCTGTTCACCTGAGACTCTAAATCTGTTCACCTGAGACTCTAAACCTGTTCACCTGAGACTCTAAACCTGTTCACCTGAGACTCTAAATCTGTTCACCTGAGACTCTAAACCTGTTCACCTGAGACTCTAAACCTGTTCACCTGAGACTCTAAACCTGTTCACCTGAGACTCTAAATCTGTTCACCTGAGACTCTAAATCTGTTCACCTGAGACTCTAAACCCCGTTCACCTGAGACTCTAAACCTGTTCACCTGAGACTCTAAACCTGTTCACCTGAGACTCTAAACCTGTTCACCTGAGACTCTAAACCCCGTTCACCTGAGACTCTAAACCCCGTTCACCTGAGACTCTAAATCTGTTCACCTGAGACTCTAAATCTGTTCACCTGAGACTCTAAACCCCGTTCACCTGAGACTCTAAATCTGTTCACCTGAGACTCTAAACCCCGTTCACCTGAGACTCTAAATCTGTTCACCTGAGACTCTAAATCTGTTCACCTGAGACTCTAAACCCCGTTCACCTGAGACTCTAAACCCCGTTCACCTGAGACTCTAAATCTGTTCACCTGAGACTCTAAATCTGTTCACCTGAGACTCTAAACCTGTTCACCTGAGACTCTAAATCTGTTCACCTGAGACTCTAAATCTTGTTCACCTGAGACTCTAAATCTGTTCACCTGAGACTCTAAACCTGTTCACCTGAGACTCTAAACCTGTTCACCTGAGACTCTAAATCTGTTCACCTGAGACTCTAAACCTGTTCACCTGAGACTCTAAACCTGTTCACCTGAGACTCTAAATCTGTTCACCTGAGACTCTAAACCTGTTCACCTGAGACTCTAAACCTGTTCACCTGAGACTCTAAACCTGTTCACCTGAGACTCTAAATCTGTTCACCTGAGACTGTTTTTTCAGAATCACCAAAGGAGGCAGAGTCTGTGCACAAAGAGGAGGAGCCTCCACAAGAAGAGGAGGGGCCTGAGGACAGATGGGCGGAGCCTGAGGAGGTGTGGCAGAGCCCACCCACTCACAGGCAGGACACAAAGGTGAGCTTACCTGGACTCACCTGTTTACCCCAGACTCACCTGGACTCACCTGTTTACCCCAGACTCACCTGGACTCACCTGTTTACCCCAGACTCACCTGGACTCACCTGTTTACCCCAGACTCACCTGGACTCACCTGTTTACCCCAGACTCACCTGGACTCACCTGTTTACCCCAGACTCACCTGGACTCACCTGTTTACCCTAAACCCTGAGGTCTGCAGACACTTCAATAGTTTATACATAAAGCTTACACCTGAGGAAGGGGCAGACCTGTCCCGCAGACAGGCGATGCACCTGTCACACCTGAGTCTCACCTGAGTCTCACCTGTGGAATATCTTTAAGTATAAATTTAAGTTTTTAATCTAAATCCATGAAGTTTACGACATTTAAATTTAAACTCATGAAACTGAAACTGTTTATTTCAGACGGAGCTCAGTGACACTGTGGAGGGAGAACTGTCCAACACCGAGGTACCAGACCTGCTTTAGTCCTGGTTTAGTTCTGGTTTAGTCCTGGTTCAGTCCTGCTTTAGTCCTGGTTTAGTTCTGGTTTAGTTCTGGTTTAGTCCTGGTTTAGTTCTGGTTTAGTCCTGGTTTAGTCCTGCTTTAGTCCTGGTTCAGTCCTGCTTTAGTCCTAGTTTAGTTCTGGTTTAGTTCTGGTTTAGTCCTGGTTTAGTTCTGGTTTAGTCCTGGTTTAGTCCTAGTTTAGTCCTGGTTTAGTTCTGGTTTAGTCCTGGTTTAGTTCTGGTTTAGTTCTGGTTTAGTCCTGGTTTAGTTCTAGTTTAGTCCTGGTTTAGTTCTGGTTCAGTCCTGGTTCAGTCCTGGTTTAGTTCTGGTTTAGTTCTGGTTTAGTTCTGGTTTAGTCCTGGTTTAGTTCTGGTTTAGTCCTGGTTTAGTTCTGGTTTAGTTCTGGTTTAGTCCTGGTTTAGTTCTAGTTTAGTCCTGGTTTAGTTCTGGTTCAGTCCTGGTTCAGTCCTGGTTTAGTCCTGGTTTAGTTCTAGTTTAGTCCTGGTTTAGTTCTGGTTCAGTCCTGGTTCAGTCCTGGTTTAGTTCTGGTTTAGTCCTGGTTTAGTTCTATTTTAGTTCTGGTTTAGTTCTGGTTCAGTCCTGGTTTAGTTCTGGTTTAGTCCTGGTTTAGTTCTGGTTCAGTCCTGCATTAAGATAATTTCCTGTTGTGTTTCAGTCGGACGAGGACCTGAAGACTCAGGTGAGTCCAGACCTGGTCCAGACCTGGTCCAGACCTGGTCCAGAGTTTGGTCTGGTTCATGATTCATTAGATTTATTCCACTTCTCACAGGACACTCTGGGCAGCCCCAACGAGAACCAGGTCCAGACCCAAGACCAGAGCCAGGTCCAGATGAGGTCCGAGGTTCGGTCTGAGGCCCGGTCCGTGTCGGCCCTGAGGAGGTCCTTCCTGGAGGAGGGTTCCCCCATCAGAGGCGTCTCAGAGTGGGACCGACGCCTCGCCTCGTCCCCCGTCCGCCACCGCGAAGACTCCCCCATGATCACCCCCCTGGACCCAGAAGACCAGAGACCAGACCAGGATCCAGACCAGAGACCAGACCAGGATCCAGACCAGAGACCAGACCAGGAACCAGCCCAGGGCCTGGAGGAGAGCCTGGATGGACCAGCGGAGACTCACCTGGAGGTCAGTTGTTTTCTTCTCTTGAGGTTTTTCCTCTGTGATGTTCTTCAGATCATCTGAAGCTCCAAGAACAAAGACGAAGAAAAAACATCACCAAGAAACTTTAAAGTTTAACGACTTTAACATAAAACCAGCTGAACCAACGTGACCCAACGTGACCTCAGGTGACCTCAGTGGATAAGCCCCTCCCCTCTGTGCTCGTGTTTGAGTTTTTGATTCTTTGTGATTTCAGAACGGCACCGAGAGGAACAACTCCCCGATGATAGAACCTCTAGAACCAGAACAGGTGAGGTCGTCTTCTTCTTCTTCTTCTTCTTCTTCTTCTTCTGGTCTCATATTTTGTTTTTTCTTGAGGTTTTTCAGATTTCTCCTGAGCTCAGCGCTTTACTTCGGTCCGACCGAGACCAGAGCGTCCTGAGAGAACTCAACCTCCTCAAGGTAAAGACCCGCCCAGAACCGGGTCAGATCCTCTTTAAACCGGGTCAGACCTGGTTCGGGCCCTGTAGTCTGGTTGTAATCCTGGTCTGGTCCTGGTTTCAGACCTCGGAGAAGGTGGAGCGGATCTTCGTGCCGCCGGAGTCATGTGACACTCAGGTACTGGCCCCACCCCCTGCGCTGCATGCTAACGTGCTAACGCTAACACAGGAAGTGAGCGAGGAGGAGGCGAGCGACAGCGACGACGTCAGCGACGACGTCAGCGATGATGTCATCAGCGTCCTGGCGCAGGTCGCCGTGGACGACGTGCCGGACGCCGCCGTAAGCGATGCTAACGATGCTAACGGCGCTAACGAGCGTCCGGCGTTGCGGCGATCAGAACGTTTCTATGACGACGAGCAGGAAACAGCCAATCAGGACGAAGACCCTGAGGACCAGGACCACGAGGTAAAACCAGCTCTAAAACCTGATCCCAGACCTGGACCTGCCGTAGTCCTGGTTCAGTCCTGGACCTCCTCTAGACCAGTTCAGATTCCGTTTAAACCTGCTGAGATCCTCCTGAAGTCCTGATGTTCCTCCTCGTCTTTTGTTTCACTCCAAAATGTTTTATCGTTTTCTTATATAAATCTTTTCTTTTTCTGTGATTCTTCAGGTCCCAGTCCTGCGACAAACTCTGACCTACGAACCTCCGGAGGTGAGACCTGCTTTAGTCCTGGTTTAGACCTGCTTTAGTCCTGGTTTAGACCTGGTTTAGTCCTGCTTTAGTCCTGCTTTAGTCCTGGTTTAGACCTGCTTTAGTCCTGGTTTAGTCCTGCTTTAGTCCTGGTTTAGACCTGGTTTAGTCCTGCTTTAGTCCTGCTTTAGTCCTGGTTTAGACCTGGTTTAGTCCTGGTTTAGTCCTGGTTTAGTCCTGTTTCTGTTTTATTCCAGAGAAAGCTGGACTCGGGACTTGGATCTGGTCTGGTCTTGAGTTCTCAGACCTTCACATCAGAAACTGCAGTTTCCACGGCAACAACTCACATCACCAAGGTACAGGGACGCACCTGACACACGAGGGCACCTGTCACATCAGGGCACCTGTCACATGAGAGCACCTGTCACACGAGAGCACCTGTCACACACGAGGGCACCTGTCACACGAGAGCACCTGTCACACGAGGCACCTGTCACATGACACGAGAGCACCTGTCACACGAGAGCACCCTGACACATGAGAGCACACTGTCACATGAGAGCACCTGACACATGAGAGCACCTGTCACACGAGGGCACCTGTCACACGAGAGCACCTGTCACACGAGAGCACCTGTCACACGAGAGCACCTGTCACACGAGAGCACCTGACACATGAGAGCACCTGTCACACGAGAGCACCTGTCACATGAGAGCACCTGTCACACGAGGGCACCTGTCACACGAGAGCACCTGTTACATGAGAGCACCTGTCACACGAGAGCACCTGACACACGAGAGCACCTGTCACATGAGAGCACCTGACACACGAGAGCACCTGACACATGAGAGCACCTGTCACACGAGAGCACCTGACACATGAGAGCACCTGACACATGAGAGCACCTGTCACACGAGAGCACCTGTCACATGAGAGCACCTGTTACATGAGAGCACCTGTCACATGAGAGCACCTGTCACACGAGAGCACCTGTCACACACCTGACAGCACACCTGTCACATGAGAGCACCTGTCACATGAGAGCACTGTCACATGAGAGCACTGTCACACGAGGCACCTGTCACACGAGAGCACCTGTCACATGAGAGCACCTGACACATGAGAGCACCTGTCACACGAGAGCACCTGTCACATGAGAGCACCTGTCACATGAGAGCACCTGTCACATGAGAGCACCTGTCACATGAGAGCACCTGTCACATGAGAGCACCTGTCACATGAGAGCACCTGTCACATGAGAGCACCTGTCACACGAGAGCACCTGTCACATGAGGCACCTGACACACGAGGGCACCTGTCACATGAGAGCACCTGTCACATGAGAGCACCTGTCACATGAGAGCACCTGACACATGAGAGCACCTGTCACACGAGAGCACCTGTCACATGAGAGCACCTGTCACACAGGGACCTGACACACAGGGACCTGACACACAGGGACCTGACACACAGGGAGGGCATCTGACTCTTTTCTGTGCTCAGATGGTCAAAGGGGGCGTGTCTCAGACTCGGATCGAGAAGAGGATCGTGATTTCAGCGTCTGAGATCGACCAAGACCAGGTAAAGTCCAGGACCTGGTCCTGGTCCTCAGATCCTCCATGGGAAAAGGGCTCAACTGTGTCAAATTTATCAAATCCAGATTTAGGTTCAGACGAGACACAGAACAGGCCAAGACAAGAAGGTCCTTAGTCCTGGTTCAGTCCTGGTTCAGTCCTGGTTCAGTCCTGGTTTAGTCCTGGTTTAGTCCTGGTTCAGTCCTGGTTTAGTCCTGGTTCAGTCCTGGTTTAGTCCTGGTTTAGTCCTGGTTTAGTCCTGGTTTAGTCCTGGTTCAGTCCTGGTTTAGTCCTGGTTTAAGTCCTGGTTCAGTCCTGGTTTAGTCCTGGTTTAGTCCTGGTTTAGTCCTGGTTTAGTCCTGGTTTAGTCCTGGTTCAGTCCTGGTTTAGTCCTGGTTTAGTCCTGGTTTAGTCCTGGTTTAGTCCTGGTTTAGTCCTGGTTTAGTCCTGGTTTGGTTTAGTCCTGGTTTAGTCCTGGTTTAGTCTGGTTTAGTCAGTCCTGGTTTAGTCCTGGTTTAGTCCTGGTTTAGTCCTGGTTTTCAGTCCTGGTTTAGTCCTGGTTCAGTCTGGTTTAGTCTTGGTTTAAGTCCTGGTTCAGTCCTGGTTTAGTCTTGGTTTAGTCTGGTTTAGTTAGTCCTGGTTTCAGTCCTGGTTCAGTCCTGGTTTAGTCTTGGTTTAGTCCTGGTTTAGTTCTGGTTTAGTCCTGGTTTAGTCCTGGTTCAGTCCTGGTTTAGTCTTGGTTTAGTCCTGGTTTAGTCCTGGTTCAGTCCTGGTTTAGTCCTGGTTTAGTCTTGGTTTAGTCCTGGTTTAGTTCTGGTTTAGTCCTGGTTCAGTCCTGGTTTAGTCTTGGTTTAGTCCTGGTTTAGTCCTGGTTCAGTCCTGGTTTAGTCCTGGTTCAGTCCTGGTTTAGTCTTGGTTTAGTCCTGGTTTAGTTCTGGTTCAGTTCTGGTTTAGTCCTGGTTTAGTTCTGGTTTAGTCCTGGTTTAGTCCTGGTTCAGTCCTGGTTTAGTCCTGGTTTAGTCCTGGTTCAGTCCTGGTTTAGTCCTGGTTTAGACCTGGTTTAGACCTGGTTTAGTCCTGGTTTAGTCCTGGTTTAGTCCTGGTTTAGTCCTGGTTTAGTCCTGGTTCAGTCCTGGTTCAGTCCTGGTTTAGTCCTGGTTCAGTCCTGGTTTAGTCTTGGTTTAGTCTGGTTTAGTTCTGGTTTAGTCCTGGTTTAGTCCTGGTTCAGTCCTGGTTTAGTCTTGGTTTAGTCCTGGTTTAGTCCTGGTTTAGTCCTGGTTTAGTCCTGGTTTAGTCTTGGTTTAGTTCTGGTTTAGTCCTGGTTCAGTCCTGGTTTAGTCTTGGTTTAGTCCTGGTTTAGTCCTGGTTCAGTCCTGGTTTAGTCCTGGTTCAGTCCTGGTTTAGTCTTGGTTTAGTCCTGGTTTAGTTCTGGTTTAGTCTTGGTTTAGTCCTGGTTTAGTTCTAGTTTAGTCCTGGTTTAGTCCTGGTTCAGTTCTGGTTTAGTCCTGGTTTAGTCCTGGTTTAGTCCTGGTTTAGTCCTGGTTCAGTCCTGGTTTAGTCCTGGTTTAGTCCTGGTTTAGTCCTGGTTTAGTCAGTTCCTGGTTTAGTCCTGGGTTTTCAGTCCTGGTTTAGTCTTGGTTTAGTCCTGGTTTAGTTCTGGTTTAGTCTTGTTTTAGTCCTGGTTTAGTTCTGGTTTAGTCCTTGGTTTAGTCCTGGTTTAGTTCTGGTTTAGTCCTGGTTTAGTCCTGGTTTAGTCCTGGTTTAGTCCTGGTTTAGTCTTGGTTTAGTCCTGGTTTAGTT